CCTGGTGGGCTGAGCTGGCCACACACACACACACACACACACACACACAAACTAATTAATTAATTAATTAATTAAAACAGAACATTAAAAAACAAGAATTGTTAAAAGGCTGAGTTTGAAAATAATAGTGTGCAAAAATGGGCAACATTTATATATTTTATTTTTTCATTTATTTTGACCTATTTATTTGACTAGGCTGGCCTTCAACTCCCAGGAAGCTCACTCAGGCTCCTGAGTGCTGGAATTACAGATGTGCAGCACCACACCTGGCACTTCAAGGGTCTTTCTTGAATTAATTTAGGTGCTGGGGATTTATTGTTTTTTTGTTTTTTATTTTTTTGGTAGAACTGGGGATTGAACTCAGGCCCTTGTGCTTGCCAGGCAAGTGCTTATTCTACTGAAATGTCTCCCCGGCCCCCGGCTGCCTTTGTATTTTTTATTCTTTTTAAAAATGTATCTGGTTGTTGTAGGTCTCACTATGCAGCTCGGACTCGTGGTGATTCTCCCGATTTCAGCCTCCCGTGGGCTGTGCCCTCCCAGACTCTGGCTGGCCATGCTGTGGGCGGGGCTGGCAGGGCATGTGCTGCCTGCACTTGCCTGAGGGTCTCTAAGCTTAAGCAGGTGCTTTAGTGCGCTAAGCTAGCTTGCCTGCCCCCAGGTGCTGCGGATTTAAACCAGAACCTTTGTACTGAGCTACATTCCCAACTGGGGGAACCAGGGCCCTTGCGCTTGCCAGGGAAGTGCTTATTCCACTGAGCCATCTCCCACTGAGCCATCTCCCTAGCAGAACCGGGGATTGAACTCAGACCCTTACATTGGCCAGGCAAGTGCTTATTCTACTGAGCTATCTCCCCGGCCCTCTCTCCAACGCTTTTTTTTTTTTTTTTTACTATATGTGCTGCCGAAGGGAGCACATCTTCCTAACCTTTTTTAAAAAAATACTTTAATTTTGTATATTTTATTTGTTTATTTATTCATTTAGTGATCCCTGTCTGGGTCTCACTTAAATTGCTAAACCACCCAGGCTCAAACTCCTGTTCCTCCTGCCTCAACCTCCCACATAGCTGCGATTTTGTTAACTGTCCTAGCTGAATTTTTGCCTTCCTTAAACCTAAAAGAGTGAGAGTGCCAAGCAGGTGAAAAGACGCAGTAAACTTGGGTTTCTAGTGATGAGCACACTAGCCTCGCTTTAATGAGCACACAAGCTGCAACACTGTGAGGATGATCAGTGCCCAGGGCTCCCGTATCTAGGAACCCTGAAACTACTGAAGTTGAATGATTTGGGAACCAGCAGAACCTCAAGTTCGTCTTCGGGAAGGGGATGATGGTAGAATACGAGACGGCCTCCACCCTGTGTGTGCTATTCCTCAGAGGAACAGAGGGACGCCGCAGACCTGAGCTACGGTGCGCCGTCCTCCCCGGGCCCTCTCGGCAGCGCAGGACGCAGACTGTCAGCCCGTGCGCGCCCAGGTGTCTTCTGCGCCGCAGGTACTTACTGTCCTCGGGAAGGCTGTTCTCGCGCTCCTCCCGCTCCATCTGCTGGCACCAGCCCTCCATGCGGTCGCGCTCCGCCTGCAGCAGCTTCAAGAACCAGTGGCCGTCCCGGTGGCACACGGACCGCTGCACGGCCTCCAGGGGGTCCTCCGTGATCGAGTCGATCCAGGGGTCGGGAGGGGGCAGAATCGATGGGTCAAAATCCGCGTCGAAGTCGTCGTCGGCTGCACAGGCATGGTAGTGGTTGCCTGAGCCCTGGATGCTGACCGTGGAGGTGCTGGCGTCCCGGGAGAACTGCCGGGCTATCGGGCCGGGACAGGAATTGTCCTCTATGGATTCCAGAGAATTCTCCAGGTTGTCGTGGAAGTCCAGGTCAGCCTGGACGGCTGTGGTCACACTGTTGGATCGAGTGAACCTGCGGAAGCTTGAGAGAAGGAGGAAGGAGATTTAGTTTGAGAGGCTTTTTCTTTCTTTCTTTTCTTTTCTTTTCCTTTCTTTTTTCTATTCCTCTCTGTCTCTCTCTGTTTCTCTCTCTGTCTCTCTCTGTCTCTCTCTGTCTCTCTCTCTCTCTCTCTGTCTGTCTGGCTGTCTGTCTCTGTCTCTGTCTACGCCTGCTTTGGCCTCCCGAGTGCTGGAATTACAGATGTGCAGCGCCACACCCTGCAGTTCAAGGGTATTTCTCGAAACAAAACTACTGTCTACTTTCCTTGTGTGACATGGAGGGGGACACTCCTGTCTGAGGTGGGGACCTTGATGCTGGCAACATGGATCCAGTGTTCTCAGGCAATGAACACAAATCTCTCAACTCGGTTCCGATCAAACATTGAACCACATCTGGGCAATTTTACAAGCGGGACAAGTGGGCAGCTGGGACAGTAGGGTTAATGTCCAGCGCCCAGCTCCTGCTGCAAACCTGCGGTGGCTTAAACCCTGAAATCCAGGGTGCCAACGGGGAAGGAGGCACTTCTACTGACTCTCAGCCTGAGCGGCTAGCCCGGGGCGATCTGGGGGCCGCTTCACCGAGCAGCGCCCGCAGGGCGAGTAGACCTGACAGCAAGCCAGGCCTCCCTGGGCTCCCTCCACCCTGTCCCTGCCTCCACCGGGCCTTGCCTGTGCCTCTGCACAGCTCTTCTGCCCACGTGATGAAAGACACGGTGTCACAGGTCCACCCGGCCCTGCACACGGGCCAGCCCGCGGGCAGCGTTTCTCACCCTGAGAGTCCGTGGGCCCTGGCGGGGGTGGGGGTGGGGGTGGGGACCGGTCATTTACAGCGCATGCTCGCACGTACTCCTGCACGCACGCAAAGCACGCAAAGCACGCTTGCAGGTTCCCTTGGGAACTGAGGCGCTGACAGCAAACTGAATAGGAGCCGGCTGGAGAAGACAAGTTCATGAGTCGTTATCCTTTCTGTATTTATTTTAAGGTCACTTCCTGGCATTTTATTTTATCGTATTGTACTGAGGATTGAACCCAGGGCCTTCCCTTTGAGCTATATCCTGAGCCCTTTGTCATTTTTTGAGGCAGGGTCTTGCTACATCATTAAATTGTCCAGCCTGGGGCTTGGACTTGATGGAGATCCTTCTGCCTCAGCCACCCAGAGTGCCAGGGTACAGGTGTGTGCCACATTGGCTGGCTGGCTTATGTCATTGTGACAAAACGTAACATAGTCTGCCGCATGCGTACTGCTCAGCAGTGTTAAGCGCGTGGGCCTCTCTGCATAACCATTGCCCTGTACGTCCCCAGAACGTTCTTATGGCTGCAGCCAGACCTCTCTATCCACCGGACCCTGGCTGACGCCAGCCCCAGCCCGCCGCTGCCAGCACCATCCAGCTTCCGTCTCTGTGGAGTGACCACTCTGTGTCCCTAGCATGAGGATCCGTGCAGTTTGCCCGTCCCTCAGGCGCACACGCGTGGGAGCATGCGTGGGAATCCCTTCACTATGAGCGTGAACGGTGCGCTGTGGTGGCACCCAGCGCGTGCTTGCGCCTGTCCGCCTGCTGACCGACGCTGGTGCTGCCGTGACCTGCTGTGAGCAGTGTGCTGCGCACGTGAGTGTGCATCTCCCCGAGGCCTGGCTTCCGGTTCTCTGGGGCTAGACCCCGCAGTAGAATGACTAGACCTGACACCAACTGTCTTTTTCGTTTTTTGAAGAATTATCACACTTTGATAATTTATATCTGGATGTCCCCCAAGAGCCTTGCGCAGTCACTCATGATGGGACCTCTGGGAGGTATCTGGATCGTGGGGGCTCACAGCTGGCCTGCCTTAGGAGGCGCGGTTCTGTCCGGGGAGGCGGTCACTGGGGCGCGACCTGCGAAGGCCCCGCTGCAGTGCCTCGGAGCTGGCTGAATGTGGACTGAAACCGGCAGCAGAAATAAAGCTCCTCTTGCTCAGAGTGCAGGTGTTGCGTCGGGGGGGGGGGGGGAGTAGGTGCCAGAGACACAGTTTTGCACAGTGGCTCCGTGTTTCGCATTCCCACCACCAGGGTGCTGGGGTTCATGTCCCTACAGCTTCGTCAGGATTTGTCTGGTTCTTTGCCAGCAAGCATCTCAGTGGGTAGCAAGGGGTAGTTGTCCCGGGTAGCTCGTGATTATGCCATTCTAAGACAGTCTACTGCACGTGGGTTTTTGATTAATCTTTCGTAATCAACAGTGCCAGCTTGAGAGGACAGTGTCCTAAACTATGACCATATCACTTTAAGTGTACCAGATTATGTGCCTTTTCTTTTTTTATACCAAGGATTGAACTCAGGAACTTGTGTTTGCCAGGCAGGCGCTTAATCCACTGAGCTATCTCCCCAGCCCTGTGTCATTGTTTTTTTACTACCCTGGGCAACTCTACTTAACTACTCAAGCCAATAAAAATGAATAGTCTAGTCCAGTGATGGTGAACCTGTGGCCCACGGTTTATGTTAGGGAAAGCTCCGAAAGGTTCGCCGTCACTGGTCTAGTATGTCAAAAATAATGTTAAGAAAAATACAAGCAAGTCATGATGTGCACAGCTGTAGAAAGACTGGGGGCCACAAAAAGGAGCGAGTACAGTCATCTCAATGAATCCAGTCTTGAACTGGGTGTGGTGGCTCACGCCCACAGTCTCAGCACTCAGGAGGCTGGAGGGGAGGTCACCACGAGTGTGAGGCCAGTGTGGGCTACACAGTGAATTTAAGGCCAGCCTGGACTATGAAGCAATGCCCTATCTCAAAGAAACCAATAAATCACTCCATCTATTATTTCTCTTCAGTGGCTGCAGTATTGACCAGCATCAGTGACCAGCCTGGACAAAATCACTACCTGTCTTAGGAAGACAGGGCAGCTGGAGTCAGCATGTGTCATTGTGGGATGTTTTTAAGAAAATGCATCTGTTGAAAATGTCAGGTCTGGTTCCCTTTGTTAAATTCTTCATTGCTCAAGTAGGCCAAAAATGAAAATTTAAAAAAAATCACACCGTGTGGAAGCCTTCAAGCCTCGTTCTAAGACTCTGGTATGGGCAGTGGCAGGAGAGGCGGATGCACTGATGCTTTGCTGCCAGCCTGCTCTCTCCCTGGCTGCACAGGCTGCCCCTGCTCCTTGCGCCGTCGCCAGCGTGAAATGTCAACCCCGAGCCATGCTGGCTACCCAGTGCGCCGCCACAAACTGGACCCTTCGCCTTGCAACAGCTGACATCTTGACGGTTTCGCTAACACACAGTCCCAGCCTCAAAGACACCCGGCTGTCCTCTCCAGGATACTGTGCTGCCAGGAGTGTCGCGTTTCCACTGGGACTCAGGCCTTGGCCTTGCCTGCTCTCCACCACACACGCTGCCAGGCGTGAGCAGAGCGGCCTCCTTTCCTGGCCTCCGTTTTCATCTGCGTGGAGCTGTGCTAGTGGCATTCCTGAGCGCCGTCTCCTGGCGAGGAGCTTGTAACGTATCCACCTTCTTAAGAAAAATGACTTGGCAGTAGATTAATAGAAGTTTGTAGTGTAGTCACCCAGAAAGAAATAAGAAGTTAAGTAAAATGAAAATGGTTTAGGATTAAAAGCGGTGCCTTTGAACTCGGGCAGGCCTTCCAAGCTGCTAGCATCTATCAATTAAGTCCCCTGAACAAGTGCTTTCTTCTGCCAGTGCTTTCAAAGAATGTTCTGCTCCACAAAACTGTGTCAAGCCTTTCATGTGGAGAGTCCCCTCTGGGCTCAGGCTGCAATCAAGTTGTGATTGTTGTTTTACATTTTTGATAGGAACACAGCAGGGGGTCGCCAAGAGTCACTGCTGTATTTTGAAAAGGAACTGCACAGTGCTGCCTCCTCTACCCGCTGCCCACGGTTTCCAAACTGGAAGCTGCTTGCTTCTTCTGCCCTGCAGGCACTGCGGTAATAATTTTGACTTCTGAAAAAGGCCACCCAGGTCTGGCCCAAGGGCACAGAGCCATGGAAGGAGGTGCTGGGAGAACCGGTGTGGGCACAACACCCTGCCGTGCCACTGCTGAAGTCACTGCTGCTGACCACCTCTTGGTCTCTCTAGGTTCCTTCCTTGAAATGAGGTTCTGGTTCTCAGGAGAGGACTCTCACAAGCACCTCCACCCCACAGGCATGCACAGGCCTGTTCTTAGGCTGCTAGGACTGTAGGAAAAGAAGACAAGTGCACAGTTGGGTGGTGGTGCACGCCTTGTAACCCCAGCACTAGGGGAGCCGAGGCAGGAGGATCGTTATGAGTTTGAGGGTAGCCTGGGCTACAGAGCAAGATGTTGTGTTTTTTTTTTTTGCGGAACCGGGGATTGAACTCAGAACCTTGTTCTTGCCAGGCAAGCACTTATTCTACTAAGCCATCTCCCCGGCCTCAAGATCTTGTTTTAAAAAAAACAAAAATGTGAACAGAAACTTAAGTACACACTCAGCATCTTTATAACCTTGTTCTTTTTTAAAAAAAAAATAATTCTCTTTGGTACTGCTGGGGCAGAACCCAGGTCTTGATGTTCCAGTCCATCCTGCTTAGAAGGTTCATCTTGAGCCTGCAAGTTCATCTTCAGCCACCCGCTGACTTCACGGAGACCAAGTCAGGGCACCCGGGCCTCTTCCTCTCCCGCTCAGTGGTGGGCAGTTTCTTTGGGGTGGTCCAGTCATGAACGGTCCAAGCACGGGCTGCTTCTTCTTTGTCAGGGCTTTAGACTTTTTCCACAGGGTTCTGTGCAGGCTGGGGAGATCAGCCCAGCACCCTCTGACTCAGGTGCCTCCTGATAGGAAAGACAGGTGGGAGGGGGTGGGAGCCAGGGTTTATGCTTTCCTTCCACACCCGAGCAGGGTATGGAGGCGCACAGGGACAGCGCGGTGCTCAGAGCTCTAGCTGCAGGGAGTGCTCCTGCTCCCCACGCATGCAGGTCTTGCATCCCGTCCCGATGTTTGCACACCTGGAAGGCTGAGGCAGGAGGATGGAGAACTCAGCCCAGCCCGC